CACTGAGATTTGAGAAACAAAAACGTTAAAACGAAAAAAAGTAATTCAATAAAGACTAGAAATTACCATAATTATCGTTTAAGACAATGCGCCTCTCTTAAATCATCTAGTATATATCAATGCTTAATAAGTCATTTTTCTGATGATTATGCTCAGACCTAGAAAATAATCAATATTTGCCTCGGACATCATTTCCACAAGCTCATCCCACCCGAAACGCGGGAGACAATTAGTTTGAACCTAGAACTGTCAATCGGCGATATAATGAGGACCGCGAGACGCTCATATCATTAGATTACATTTTGTTACAGCGAGTTATTAATGTGCACCCGACCCGAACGATGTATATAAATCAGCCTATATATTTAGGCTGAGGTTCAGGGAGATAAATGCACTTCTCGTCAAAGTGATGGGACGGAATATATTATCAATACAATTAACAGACATGCAGGAGAGTGTGTGTTTGTCTATGTGCGTGTGTGTGCGTGTGCGTGGTATGTGGAGCTCTCCATGGTGCTTCGTCTTTACGGTGCAAAATATGATGCATTGGAAAGAACGAGGCTTGTTATTAAGTGAAATAAACAAACAAATAAACAAACAAACAAAAACAATATTTAATTAATCTGCCTTTACAAACACATTATTTTTTCCCAAAAAGCATTCCCCAAAACATTTTCAATCTGCAAATATATGACCTAGTTATTTATTGTTTCGAGATTCGTCAGACTTAGATATAACCTTTTCTTCTATTTATATATAGTAATATGCTCTTTTTTAATTAAATGTATTATAATAGTATACTTTGATTATAAATAGGCATGTATTATTATTTATATTTCTAGAATGTATTTAATTACTGCAGAATCTCCGCTACAAAACAACCTAAATTGTGAATTTTGCCTGTCTAAAACATAAACGAAAAAGGGGGAAAACAACGCATTATCCAGGTATTTGTTCAGATAATAAGCATGACTTCGACTGAAATATCTGGCCCCGTTCAAACATACAGGCGAGTCAAGGTTACGTGTCTTTAAACATGCACTTTGCCATAACAGTGGTTTTTCTCACACTTCTAGTTTGCAATAACACTAAAGCCAATTGGGTCACTAACCTCCATCCTATGAGAAAAATGCACTTTTACCCTGAGCCGAGGGAAAGAGCTTTCTTATATTCACCAAGAAGGGCAAAAGTTGTGACTTTCTTTGAAACCTGTGCTTTTCTGTCACTTTGTGCATATGCTTTGGGTGGCTAAATCCCAATTAGGGTCGGCTGACACGCTGCTCTATTCACGCAGAGCCCTGCCTGCATACATTTGCCTAGGAATGAACTTCTCAAATAGATCTCCTGCTAAATGCGTTGGACAGCAGAGAGAATCGGCCTGAGTGACACTTTCTTTCTGAGGCGCTCGAGTGAGAAAAGGTATGAATTTATAAGGTACACCGAAACATATCAATTCACGCGACTTCACACGCCATTATCCGCGTCTCCTCATGCGAGACAAAGTGACTTTAAGTCAGGGAAATGTGGCCTGAAAAAGACCGGCGCATAAACTTTGTAGAGACTTTGAATACCGAAACGGTGCAGCCCACTTTCTGAATGAAATCACGCATGAACAGCGTTGAATCAGGTGGCATTTATTCGGCTCCTCTCTAATGCGATTTTGAATATAAGTCTGGGTTAAAATCCCAATCATGTCATCTGGTGGGAGTCCCATACAAGCATAATTACTATTCAAACGCGTCGCTAATGTCCCACCCGCATCATAGCAGCTGGTCTGCCATTGGTGCAGCTTGCATCTTTCCCCAGGTTTCTCACAAAGTAGAACACCTTTAATATGCCCGGGTGGTATAAAATAAAGAAAAGAAAGGCGAGGAATAAGATAAACAGGCCTGTCCGAAAGCCTTTCTCTTAGAAATCTGAAAGGAATAATAAGAAGTTCTGTTTCTTTGGCTCAACAGAGTTCAACCTGTCCAGAAAACCAAAAGCGAGAGGATTTAAGTTTCTTTTTTTTAATTAGCCTGTAAGACGTGTGACCAAGTTAATGTGAGAGTTGCTGAAGGTGTGGGCTTACATGTGGAGAAATAAATGGATTTTAGACAAACACAAGAGTCATTTCTAAGACGTGGGAATCTGTGAGAAATAGGCCACATTGCTAAGTGGGACAATGATTGGGCTCTTCTGAATAGACCCAAACAAAGTTTATGGGTCGACATAAAAAATGTGTTTTCTTCCGAGCTCGGAGGGGTCTTAAATGGTAGGCCATTGAAACCAGTCCAGGAGAGGTGGTGGTGAACCCTTGGCACCCCTGAAGGATAGTCACGGCGCATGAATGGAGATCCCTGGTGGGGCATTGCTCTCTGTATTTACCGCGTTGCTTTGCAGACAGGTTGTTCCTCTATATTCATGGCTCATTAATGGCCAACCAGTTAAATCAGAGCCCCACCGTTTAGACCGTTAAAACCCAAAAAAGGCTGGCAAGAGTCAGGCAGAGCCGCCCATAAAAACGTCTCCCGAATCCGATTCTTCTCGGGTCGTTATTTACGTTTATTAAAGAGTTCATTTAAGAAAAGCGCACTAGCGGAATGCTGCTGAATCAATCCGCAATATTGTCCCAGGATAAAGATCCGACCATGTAATTAATGTGTCTTATTTTAAAAAAGGGAGAAAGAACAATAGAGCCGGTCAAGCCATTTAATTTAATTAAATGTTCCATCCCATTTGCTTCCAACTCTGCTTTCACTCTGACACCGAGCTTTTCTCAGAGCGGACCGTGGAGCAGGGATTCACCACTGCGACTTCTCCGCAAACAGAAAGGAAAGGTCTTGGGCCTCCCCCCCCTCCCTCTGAGAATAATTCATTTCACTGTGGAGAAGAGCACGGTTCCTCAAAGCAGAGCAGGGGTGGATGGGAACCAGCCGCAAATGGCGAGGCGTTAATAAATAACCTCTCCGCACAGCCAGGCGCAAACATAGCGCCCATTGAGGAGATTGTTCGCGTGTCGTTCAACCTCTTTGAGTAGGAGCAGCCTGCAGAGAGAGAGAAGGAGATTGATGTCTGTTAGTTTATTTATAGCGTTTTGTTATATAGTTCATGAACAAACAAGATTTCTCACTGAAATGAAAGAATATATTGATTTAAACTGAACTGTGGAATGTGTTGTTTTTCTCTATTTAATTCATTATTTATTTGTTCATCCTTGAAACAACCTATTAAATAAAATACATCAGGATTTTTTTTATTTTTCAGATTTTTTACAGCAAATAGTCATTTATGTTTGGCATTAAAAGCTACTTGTCCACGGTGGACAGGTCAGAGGTCAACATGTTTCTGCTCTGAATTGCTCGCCCACAGGTTCTTGTTCTGCCCAGACTCATCACTGCAGCATCAAAAGGCTCCATTAAACAACCTGCTGCACACAGCCACATGCTGGAGACTCCCTCTGCCTCCAAGTCCCCTCACAATACATCTCTTTAATACCAGTGAAGGTTGATAAACAACAACTGGATCATCCTGTCATTAGAGTCTGTCTGAAATAATGAATGCATTTATATTATAGGATATTATGTCCATGATACTCTCAGCGTGGTTAAAGTTGGGCTGATATTAAATCAAAAAGTAGAGTGAACTGTTCTTTTTTTGCTTATTTTCTCCAGGTCAAAACACATATTTCCACATTTAGCATTTTAAAAGATTAGAAAAGATCAAACTTTAAATTGCATAAACTTTTTTTATTAAAACATTGTCACATGCTGAATGCAGGGGACACGTTTTTAGCAAAGTTTTGGAGATGCAGTAGGCTACTTGGTTTTCACAGGACACGTTTTCTTGTTTTGTAAAATAAATCAATTTAATAATTGAAATCATAATCATAGTGACTTTGGGACTTTAACATGGATTTAAAGTAAATTATCATATGCAACTATGTATTTAAATATGTTGTTCTACACATTTCAGATTTTTTCTCTAATGTGTTTTATATAGAAACACATTTTTAAAATAATTATTTATCAGTTACCCTTAATATTTCTTCCCTTAACAGATGTCTAAACTGAGCTACAATATAAAGGGTTAAATAATGCTCAAATATATAACATATCACATTAATCCCGCAGAACGTACGTGTTGAATAAGGAAGACAAGAAAACCACAAGTGTGTTTGGTGTGGGAAGATGGTGCTGGTTATTCTCTAGTTGTTTTTTTCTCTCTTCCTTCTGCTGGTTCCTTTTGAGTACCTGCCTGATCTCAACCCGGCACACGCCGAGAGTCAATAGAAGTTAACAAGTCCTCTAAACTTTCCTGCTCTTTTGTTAAAGTGCGCACACAAAGGAGGAGGCAGAATAAAGCGCTTTGAAGTATATCAACCCCGAAGAATGCCAGCCAAGTAGATTTAAAGTAGCCTCTGATTTCCAAAACCTGGCTTGAAAGGGAAGAATGGAAAAGGATGAGGATTTATGGAGAAATTATACAGTGGATTTGTCAGTTAAAATATCGGAACTGTCTGCGCCACAAAGCCACATGTTGAGGATTAATGGTCGCTCTGGACCTTTGATTCTGCTCCCTCTTTTCTCTGCCCTTGACAAATTGGATTTTGGGGATGGGAAGGTCGCCTGGCTCTTTGTGTCTCTTGACCGTTTTGGAGCAATTCATTATGCGGAGGGAAAGTCTCCATGTGACCAGGCAGGCCCGTTTCCCCTCTCCTCACAGCTGCTGGGGAGCCCAACTCTCTCACACTCACCCACACACACACGCTGCTGCTGCAAACTCCCTCATGTCCCCCTTTTAACTACCTTATAGCATCCTGAGCTGGAGAGGGGTGGAGGGTGTGCAAAGGGGGGCGGGGGGGGGGGGGGGGGCTACCTTGCCTTCACCATCACTAGAAAAGCCGGAGAGCATAACGCCACCGCGTCACTTTGAGGGCGGATATCGGCCGGTCCTCATCCTCTCTTCGTCCTCCTCTTCCTCCTTTCCTGCACTCTCCCAATCGGTCTCCATCAGTCTTCATGGTTCTGATCTCACCCCACACCATGCAAGCCACCCGGGCGCCCACCACCGTCAGTGTGTTTGCGGACTGCAGCATCCCGGCCGGGCTCCGGATAGGACCGGTACCGGGCATCTTCAAACTCGGGAAGTACGTTTCAGATCGCAAGGAAGTTGGACCTAAGAAGAAGGTGAGATTAAAAAACAGTTATTTTTTTTCTTTTAAAAGGTCACGTTTATTAATTGGGTTTATGTTGCATTTCATGTTTCTAGCAAAAAAAATGCGTCTTATTTTTTTATGTTTTGAAATGATTCTGGTGCATTGGATAGCTTTGAATGGATGTGATATTTTTAAATACACTTTTTATTTATTTATTACAAATTTATTTAGTTGAACATTGCATTAAAAACTTTTTTCAAGCATTTTTACCATTTTAGTCCTGCAAAATGTACCACCGATTACAACAAATAACCTCCTTAATAAAAGAAACATTTTATGTTAAAAATTAAATAAAGGTTGTTTCATATTAAAAACGAACGATTTGGGTTTTTAAGCTGCACTGTCAAACTCCATCGGGCCTTTGCTTATTAATTGGTTTGGCCTGTCAGTTTGGAAATAATTGAACTCCATTAGTGGCCGACTTGTCAGTCTGTGCTTCTACTTAACCGGCCTAATGGGCGACCCGGGTCTGCTGTGTGGGACTTCATGCCCTCAGCCGCCTCACATTTCACCGCCTGGCGGGCCTGTTATCCCGATGAGCCGTTTAATTTTAATGGAATCCGGCCACAGAAAGATGGCACTGAGGCCGGGGCCATAGCCCGGGGCTACGAAAAATGGCTAATAATAACAGATAAAATAATACAAATAAAACAATGCATACATGTTATTGGACTGTGATAATTCTGTGAACCATTGCTGAGGTGGTAAATATTTGGTTTTCAAGTGCAGATGATCAAAGAATGAGAAAATACAAATCTAAAGACACTTTAAATGTAAAAGAAGAACATTAAAAATAAATAAATAAGTCAATTATTATTTTTTACACAATATGGGTAAACAATCTGCGGCTATAAGTGCATCCATAACCCACCCAGTTATTGTTGCAGCTGTCAGCGCTTGTGATTGATGCGTCTAAATGCGTGGCCCCGGGCTGCCGGCGATCATCAGGTGCAATCTCTGTGTTAAATGTCACGCTTCGATCTTTAATGTCCTTGAACAGTTTAGAAACGCTCTGACACTCCTCAAATTCGTTTCCCATATCAACTCAATTAGGCCCGAGTGTCATTCTCTTTAGTAAATTATCAGCAGAGCGGATAAAGACGCATTAAAGGACGTTGTGGTCATGCTTGGCCGCAGTCCTTCAGGTAATATAGCAGAAGAGCTGGTGAAAAAAATTCGTTAAAATGAACTATGAAATAACAAAATAAAGAAAAAACGGGGAATGATAATGGAAAATAAAAACCTGCAAAAAAATCAAAAAGGGAACATTTGTTTTAAATGCTGTAGTTGTATGTATTCATTTTAAGTTGTGTCGGTTTGTCTTCGAGGGGACATTTGAAAGGGCCTCGGTGTTCATATTCTCCTATCAAACTGTGTATTTACCGTTTTTTTATTATGGCTTAGGTTCGCTTGGTTCGCGGGGAGTTCGTGGATGAATCGGGCTGTCCCGTGCCAGACTGGATCGGACTGATCCGTGCAGCCAGGAACAGCCAAGAGCAGAACCTGGAGGCGGTTTCAGACTTACCTGGCAGACAGGTAAATACTATCTAAATTCTCATCACACTTGAATGACAATACCGGATTCCCCCCTCCCTCCCTCACCTTTTGGACACTTCCGTTAACTCCCTCTCCTCTTCCCACTTGCTGTTTGTAGATCTTTTACCGCGTGCTGAGAGAAATCCCTTCAGGAGAGGAGCTCAGTGTTTGGTACTCAAACGCTCTGGCCCAGTGGTACGACATCCCGACCACTGCTACTCCAACGCACGACGAAAAAGGTAAATCAGAATGCTAATAATGACCTGGGAGGGGGCTAGTCTGGGATTTAAATAATGGGAATTTAAGGAAAACATGATCCTACTAGCTCTGATTTATAGGGGTATATCAGGGGGGTAACTGAATGGCAGCACTCGGGATTTAAGATGCAATAATAATGATTCCAAATATCACAGAAACTTTTAGGTAAAACATTTTTTATTGCTTATCCTTCAAAGTGTGGGCATGACTTCACAGAGGTCTGACACAACATCGACATGTGGAGGGGGGGCATCACTGCAGCTAAATGACTGCCAATACCAATAATGTCTGTCCGTTACCGCACAGAGATGGAAATCGATTGAATGTTGTCTTTTCCTCAGGCAGACTATTTGTTGTTGTTAATGTATTTGTTTATCGTAGAATCCAAAAAAAAACACAACGAATTCTTACCATTTAAAGAATATTAAATCAATTGGAAAATTGCCTTTTGGTGAAAACATACAATTCGTTTGAATAAAGGAATGCAAATATTGGTTCAGGCCTACAGAAGCAAGGATTTGATCGGATAGTGATAGCTTTTAATCATGTGCGGTGAGCCTTCAATATTGTGTATAGGCAAACATAATCCGATTGCAATAATATTATACAATACAGGGAATAAAGCATAATTAACGCATATACGCAGCTTTAAATTAACACTGATCAACTGCTTTCAAAATAGTTAGGAATTTTAATCCGTGTTTGGGCTGGTAATGATAGTTTGGCGGTTGCGCTTGGGGATTATTCCTTAATCTTGGCAAAACACCAGCTGAACAGGAACTAATCCGGTTCAAAAAATTATTATAAACAACAGACACTTTGCTGGGATTCCATTAAGTGAAGATGATTTTTGATTATACGTTTCGTGTTGACCTGGAAGGGCCTCTTAACTAATTGAATTATTGTAAAAGCGAAACGTCGAAGCTTCAAATTATATCAAATGTAGGCACGTCGAGATAAAAATAATAATAATTGTGATAAAGTAATTACGGTGCTTAACCCAATAAAAAAGCAATTAAAAAGCACAAACTAACGAGTCTGGGCGTCCCTGGAAAAAGAAGAGGCTGTTGATTCAGTTGCGAGACGGAGGTTAACAAATGTCATTGCGTCATTAATATTCATGTATTCAAAAGCAAATAAACTCAAAAACAAGTGCTTCACGGCAAATTAGGTGGGTGCGTCAAGGTATTGTGCCCTAATGAATACTAACTTTTATATGGGTGTATATTGCCTTGATTCTCCGGCCCATCACCGTGTGCTCTCCTGGACATACGCTCTCTCCCATTATTAGGCGTCAACAGATGGGCCGCCGCCATTGTTTCGGGAGACTTGCGATTTCAAGCAACAGCTGCTGTCACTTCCACGGGAAAGCGCACAGAGAGAGAAAGTCCCGCATTCAATGCATGGGTTCTGAGCGCCAGATTGGGCAGGGCGTTTGCTCTTTTGATGGCGGCCATAAACAATGACCCGCATGAGGATTACAAAATCATTACATCTATATTAACCTCAGAGTGCTCGACTCACTTAAACGGCCTCCTGTGTCTATTACCATTTGGCACCGGATCTTAGAAACCGGATCATATCCATTATCCTTACATTAACAGAAAATGCTTCTTTTTAAAAGGGCCATGTATTTTTTTTTGCAAAGCTTAATTTTGACCATCTATCCATTTAATCTCGAGGCCCATTTATCTCAAATATTAGTTTTTACATTTTTATCACAACCCCTGTTCAATATATGTTCGTGTGCTGTGAGGGGAAGAGGGGAGGGGGCATTTGTCTGTGTAGCAGTTTACAGGTATTTCTCCACTGGTTTCAAAACCTGTTATGCTCATTTTACGCACGGACATGCCCTTTTACGCACGGGAATATTTTGTAATTTGGCAGGGAATTATCTGTGTTCACGCTGTGTTGTGTGACTTAATGATCCTTGTCCAACTGATAATTAATGTCATGTTCTCTCTCTGTCTCTTCAGGTGAGGAGCGTTACATCTGCTGGTACTGCTGGCGAATCTTCAAGTACCCCAACACACTCAAGGCCCACGTCCACTTCCACTGCGCCCTGAGCAACGGGCGGGGCTTTTTGAGCAGCGAGCAGGCCAGAGGCACGGAGACCTTCACCAGGTCACCAAAGTCTGGAGACATCCCCAACACTTCCACCTCCCCGAGGAGCGGCCACAGTAACTCCTCCATCTCAGACTCTGGCAGGCGGGCTGTGTCCTCATCGCCGTTTCTGCAAAAAGTTGGACTGTCGAAGAAAAGCAGCACAGAGGAGCAGGACAGAGCCCTTGACATGAGCGTTACCTCAGCCAGAAACCAAGGACACATCCTTGGCCTCGGGGCCACATCCTCAATGTTGAGCAGCATGGGCTTTCATCCGGGTGTGCGCTCTGCCTTCAAACCCACCGGAGTCTCCAAAGTCCCGGGCGCGGACGCATCCGGAGAGGAAGCAAACGCGAAGCTGAGCAGCCTGGGGTTCGGCAAGCTCATTGGAAACATGAAACCGATCCGCAATGTTGGCGAGACTCTAAACGGAGGAGGCAGCCACCCTCCCAAGTGCACACCTGCAATCATGGACTCCTCATCTCAAATGGTGCCATGCACAAACGCCATCCGGGGTTTTCCGCTGCTGCCTCACGTAGAGGAGACGTCAGCTTTTAAGCACGTAGAGAGCCGTATGCACCCCGGCCTGTCCCCTTCCCGCTACCCCCAGATGCCCCCTGGACTGCATTTTGAGAGGTTCTCTCTCCCTCACTTTGATGGGGTCAAGACATACGGTGGAGACTGCAACATCCCCCTAATGCCCCTCACTGTGTATAACGGAGAGCTTCTGTACAGCTCGCCATACTATCCTCTCAAATTCCACTTCAGCAACCTCCTCAAGTACCCGGAGTCCATGTCCTACTTCGGTGCGCCCTCACTGAACCACGACCTGGGCTCAATCGCAAACATCGACCGGGAGATCGCCATGCACACGCAACAGCTGTCTGAAATCGCGGCGGAGAAGAACCGGACGAGGCTGGACTCAATGCCCGCAGGAACCGCGAGCAACGCCGGGTCAGGCAAGCCCAAAAAGGGACACCTGTGTCTGTACTGCGGCAAGCTGTACTCCAGGAAATACGGCCTGAAAATCCACATGAGGACTCACACAGGTTACAAGCCGCTTAAGTGCAAAGTGTGCTTCAGGCCCTTCGGAGACCCAAGCAACCTGAACAAGCACATCCGGTTGCACGCAGAAGGGAACACGCCGTACAGGTGCGAATTTTGCGGCAAGGTTCTGGTGCGCAGGCGCGACCTGGAGAGGCACGTGAAGTCCAGACACCCCGGGCAGACCGTGAAGAAACTGGAGGACAAACCGGGAGGCCTGTTCGAGGACGCAGAGCAAAAGAGCGACAATGACAGCGACGTGGACGTGTGCTTCACCGACGACCAGAGCGACCAGGAAGAGTCGAGCAAAAACACTGACTGAGATGCGTTCAGGGCCAGAGACACTGATCAGTGACTTTAAATGATGTACACAATGTCATTTAGTCTTGTGCTGAATCTTGATTTTTTTTTGTTACCCAAAGGCCTAAATCTTCTAATCTTTGACTTTCTGTTTGGTGTTTCATCATGACATATTCGAGAGAAAAAACACATATTTATTTGTTAGTCACAGATGTGGGGTAGGTAACATTTTCTTTGTCTATCTCTTGGACAATGCAACATGTTTTCTTTGTGCCAAATAACCTGTGGCCTTGGGTTCTGGCACGCTTTCTTAACCATGCGTAAAACAGTCTGCCAGTGGGGCTGCAGACATTTTCGTTTGTTTCAAATGACTATAATATATTTTGCTTTCATTTTTCTCCATGTCTTTTGCTGCGTTGAAAAAATGCTAACAATTCTAAAGAAACACCACACTAAACAAGAACAAAGATCCGACATTAGACAGTGTCAGTTGCTTTAAGAAAATAGACAAATCAAGGCTGAATATGAGACTAAACTTAGATATCATTTTTATTTGTGTAAAAAAAAGAATATTTTTGTTTTTTGTCGCCCCTTGAGAAAGGACATATGGGTTAATTTATCGAAAGACCTAATCCAAAAATAAAAACAGCACTACATTCCATCACCCCTGGATATTCACGAATGAGCTGCACAAATATGATTATTTTTTATTTTTGTACCATTAAAAATCATTCCCACATCCCCCTCTAAACTGTCAGTTGCACTTTAAAAACAGCAATGGGCATGTCAGTTCAACAAAACCGATGCATATTGATTCATATAATCCAGTTTATGATCATGGCTTTATTAACGGATCCCTGCAGCCTCATTATAACACAACTGTACTTTAAATTTGCACTTTTTGCCGAGGCACGCTGCTCTGAGAGAAGCAGCAGCAGCCCAGTTTTATTTAAGGAATTATTTCTAGAGAAAGGAAATTGTATGGATTGCAGTTATAGCCTATGTAAAGAAGTGTAAAGTATGATATTTCACATTTCAGTGGAGAAGTGTTGTATACGTTTGTTTACAAGTGATATTGTCTATGAGCACAATATTTTACTCCTGTCCGTTAAGTTGTTGGTTTTTGAATACATTTAATTTAAAAATATTAAAAAACGTGTTTGAGGTTTTCTTAATTGTCCGTGAGTCCATGATTGCCATATGTTTCTACTTTCTTTAATTGGGTGTTTTGTGTGACACTCAGTATAAAGGTGTTGCATGCAGTTCAACAGAAAGATATTCAGATTTTATTTATATATATTTGTTCGTCTGCATCCAATACATCTGCATCAAAGCTTAGCCAGTCGGGCCTGTTGTAATCAAGTCAAACGGCAATTCTTCTTTACCTTTCCTACATTTGAAAGAATATTTGATATAATATATACATGATAATTTGAAAGGCATATTCGGATGCTTTAATTAGCCTAAATAAAAGTAACAATTGCGCAATGTGAAAGTACTCTGCAACAAAAGCCTGCATTGAAATGTTAATTTTATTAGCAAAGGTTAATTAAAAGTATGAAATGTAAAATGTAAAAAATGCAAAAGTGCAGAATTATTTTTTCATAAATAAAAATGTGCCCATAATTATCTTATTATCTCATCAACAAGCAGTTTTGCGATTAAAAGTAAAGCAATTTTTTTGCCATTTATATGCTGTTAGTTAAATCTTTACAAATACATTACATTCAATACAATTATTGTTTTTAATTAATGTGGAGGAGAAGAATAAAGTGGCAACAGACTTGAATATATATAACCTCAAATGTTTGCTAAAATACAGTACTTGAGTAAATGTACTTAGTTTCATTCCACCTCTGCTTTTTTCACTGTCAATGTTTCAACCACAACATAACTCATCTTAATTATTATTTAATTATCAAGGCATCAGTTTGAAATGAAATGTGCCTCTCCTGCATGGTGTGGACTCTCAGATTTGGTTCCCTGTCATGTCAGCGGCTGCTCTCCGAACACCTCTACTCCACTGACCTGTCAAACATCTTTCACTTCACAGGAGAGAACTGCTGCAGCGGAGATCCCTCAATAACAGACACAGCAAATAAAATACTTCAATTGGTGAATGACCGTCTCCTGTGTACAAGTTATACAGGCAGCAAAGATAGTTGTGACCTTGATGTGGTTTATTGAATCCATTTGTAGACATTTGAAATAATTTAGCAATCTCTTCTGAGATTGCTAAATTCATGTTGTTTTGGCACTTACACTGGAAAAAGCACAGACATAAAATCACCTTTGTGTGTGGATTTCAGGATATGGGTCAAGCATGTGGCAGTATCTTACAAATCCCACTTTCTATACGTGTTTTCATATGTGACAACTTAAACTGATGCATTATGTATTGAGATACAGTAGACTCCCATTAAACAATGAAGAGACTGTGCACTGATTTCTTTCAGGAAAAGCCATAATGTGTTTATCATGCAACATGGGATGAAGAATAATCCAATGCAGCCTGTTATAACAAATAATACTTACAGCACAAGGTCTCTTTTTATGTTAAATGCATGTGTCACATCCTGTTTTAAAGTGCAAAATATATGAAAAAGAAAAACGCTAGCACACTATCAAATCCGATAAGTACAGAATACCCAAATCTTTGTAGAAACTGATTACGAAAAAAAAAACTCCACAAGCAAAGCAATATTGGACATTTCTGATGTAGCTGTATCTGGATCACCTCCTGAGTGTGTGGGTGAGTGTGTATGTGTCTGTGCATGTATTTGTGGCTGTATGAGGGCCGTGTCTAGAAAGTAACCGACAAATTGCGAAAATGTGGCCAAACCTCTTGCGAGACTTGCCCCCCCACAATCCAAACTTTACCATCTCACAAGAGTTTGACAACTTGTTGGTTACCTTTAAGACACACCCGTACATGAGTGGGATCTCTACATCTCAAACACAAGGGAACCCGGAGTTGAGCATCTGAGTGCTTGATGTAAAAAGTATGGCCTGATTTCTTACAAGAGCAATTCAAATGATCTTACCACCATGGCCATCAAACAACACATGACATTTAAACCAAAAAACTAAATACATTTAATGAATTAATCAATAAATACCAAGTATATCCCATTTGTACAAAGACCTTAAAAAACCAAACCTAAAATAATAAAATAAGTATTTGTTTTTTATTAGCAAAAACACAATGACCAAGTTTTGTGTGGCTTTGGCGAGAGCATACACTAAATAATAGCTTCAGATTCTCGTTGGAAACATAGACTGCATAGCTGACACATTTCTTAATAAAGCCATACATTTTCATAATGTGACCTTTTTTATTTAAGGTGTCTGCTAAAAGTTTTCCTCTCGTTCACAGCAGTTTATTACTTTGCTCCTGTCTGTATTACAAAACTAGAAGGGTAAAAAAGCTAAAGAACCTTGAAGAGTAGGCTACACACTATGACCTTATTGATACCAACAGTTCTGTGAATGCACTGTGTACTTACATTCCAGGGATTGAAGGGCTGTGGATCCTCCTTATGCAGGTATAAAGAGAGAGCTATAAGAACCATCAAACCATGATACATTCATTTTCCATGCAATAAATGACTGAAATGTAAATGCAAAAAGTTCAACAAGTCCTCCAACTCATACGACCAAATAGGTCGATTGTTCACCAGCTTATTACGACCATCACGTTTTAAAGTTATCGACCTCTAGTGCTCCCGTTGATTGCAAACGCTCCGGTGGGTCGTATATTCACAAATAACCCTCTCTGGAAAATCGTAAATTGTAGGACAGTTTGGCCATTAAAAGCTTTTTTGATTAGATTTCTAGCGAGAAGTGTATATTGTACTTTTAGAATATACGTCCAGTGGATGTGTAGGAATCTATAGTTTGATAGATATTACGAAGATTATTTGAGGTCTCGCCAGGAGAACGTGTAGAAACTACGTCTTTCCCCCTATTCATTTCTATTGACGGCAGCGTCCATGTAAAGTTAGCGTTAACCCTCACGGGGTGAAAACAGTATTTCCGGTCTCGATGTTTTCATAATAAAACCGTATTCCCCTCACTGTCAAATGATTTTACAGTGATATCTGCAGTACTCATCCACTAAAAAACATCAGTTTAAATTGTGTAAAATGCTTTTGTGTTTTTCCCATAGGTTTTTCCCTTTCGGTTCTGAGAGACACATTTATTTTTTCAGAGGTTTTGATAGGCTAAAATATCTAACCCTCAGCTATCGTTCAAGCTCGGTGATTGGATGTTTTAGCCGCAATGCACGTTGGGATATGGTGTTTATGCGATATGAAATCCGAAAACATAAAAATAAATAAAAAATAATACTTTATTCCGCGTGTACTTGCTTTTCTCTTTGAAAGTCATCACATAACGGCATTGTAATACATGGTTAGGCTGCATTAAATATTACACATCTGCCGTAATTCTTTATTTATAGAGCCCCGATTAGAAGACTTCTGGCTAAACTGGAAGAACTGCCACCGAAACTGAATATGTGACGTGGATCATAAATATATCAGCAATTAAACAACATCTTCAATTTCTCTTCACACAATACGTCTCCTTGCAGTATCAATACTAATTTGGCTGACTTTTATATTTGATCCAATTGGTAGATAGGCTATATTTACACCATAACGGTGCACAGCTGATAGAAAAGGACTTGTAGTTTTTAAAGATATTACTGATTTTCTTTGATATAAGAATGTAAATACTGAGTTGAGAAAATAGTCAGGGGTTTTGGGTAATGGGAGACACATCTATGGATTCAGAATTTCAAGCTTACCATTAAATGACGGATATACCTTTCTGTCTGTGATGTTTTACAAATCAGATATTAATGTGTAGAACTACAATATGTGAAATAATATAGCAATATCCTGTAAAATTATGTGAAAACATGAATAAAACTACACATCTTCAGATGTTATACATACATAAGTGTCCTACACTAATAATACAAAGTTATTATGGCATTTTATGCTGTGTGTTATGTGT